CCGTGCGCGCGCGCGACTAATTTATATGAAAAGGAGGAGAAGCGAATCAATGTTCAATTCCGCTTCAAGGTGTCGTGCAGAGAGGACTAATAATCCTGCCGAACGTTTAAGTCGCGACGGTAACATTTAATCACAATCGTGCGGGCGACAGATCGAGTTATTGCGGCGCGCGACGTCAAGCTTTCTTATCGTTTCATCGACCTCTCCCCCTTCCCTCCCACCGTTTTACCGTTCCCCACCTTCGTCCGTTCGCAGAGCTACACGATATCTTAATAACGCAGGTATACGCGTTCCTCTACTCACGGTCTCAGCGAAGCGAGTCTAGATCGGAAGACTAGTTGGCTGAACCTCGGATCTCCGGTAGTAAAATACGCGGCTTAATTGCTTAATTTCTCACAGCTAAGCCCGCCTTACCCCCGCCCGCCCCCGCGCGCGCGCGCACCAGCCACCCACTCTTCCGCAGCCACCCACCGTCGTCGAAGAACAAAGGCGTGCGCCCGTTACTTCGTTCTTCTTACTTTTACACCCTATCAGCATTACTTGCCGCGTGACACTTTAATTATGCCGCCGCGAAAATCGGACAGAGGACATAAGAGGATGCGCGTCCGCGAGAGAAAGACAAAGAGCGAGAGAAAGAGAGAGCGGTAGCTCGGATCTTTTTCATTCCGCGACGATTTTAATTAACCGAACCGCATAGAGTCATCAGCGACGCCCCGACAGATTGCGAGACGTGCAATAAAGCGAGTGAAACGAATCGTGACTCTCGGCCGACGCCGGATCAGAAGTTCTCCGACGTAATCTCATTTAAATTTCGTGTATTTATTTTATGTCATTCAAATTTCGTGCGTACACTCGTCTCCCATTTATGCGCCTTTGCACTTTTTATTTAGAGTTTTTATATGAGATTAGATATCCTCTCTTTTGTGTCTCTGTGGAACAAATTAGTGCAACGACAAGTCGCGTTGATATAGTTACTGACCAAATCGTTTCAATTGATGACTCGTCACAGCAATTATATGGAGAGAATTTTACAATAAAAATTATAAGGTTTTGTAACCGACGAATAGATCGACATTCCGTAATAATTCGCTATCCTTTCGTTTCATGTGTATTATTTATATTTAGGTACTGAAATGTGCGCTATTAAAACACTTGCTAGCAAAGTTTACGACATTTCTTGGTAAGATAGACCTTACTGACAGTAAGGACTATCTGTTCCTGGACTATTGAAAACGTAGTGAAATTGAAAAGAATTTACATAAAAAAAAGAAAAAATTCTATAACATTCTCTCCGTGTATATAATTCGTTCAATCGACTAAACGTTTGCTTGAACGAATTTTGTTCGTTCGAGCGAGGTCTCGTTAATTCAATTACTGTATGCTTTTTTTATCAATGTGGGAAACGCGAAATGCGACGCTGATGATTAGTAATCGCCGCGTGGGAGTGGTGCAATATTGTGGCGCGTTTTAGTGGCCCGTGTGACACCGTAATAAGAGAGACCCGTATTGCAGTTTCGCACACACACACTCACGATCTTCGCGGCAGGAGGGTCGCCTATAAAATGTTTGACGCGCGATTCGCGACGGGGAGGGGGTGGTCGTCGCGTTGAATTAGTTAACGGCTCGCGTGCATCGAAAGCAATCGGGAATTGCATTCCGCACGCACTGTGTGTTCGAAAAATGTATAGTCGAGAGGCCGCGACGACGCTGCTTCCCGGCGCGACAGTAAAATCGTCGTAAAATTTTCACGACAAAGTCATTTCCTCGCGTTCCTCTTCGCCCGACACTGCCGTCTCGATGCGAATTTACGCGACGGATCTCGTCTCTGGATCTTGTCGTCGTATCTCACGAAAGCACCGCGGAGGACGCCTTCAATGAGAGGTACAAAGGTGCCTGGGAACACTTTTGACGAAACATGTGAATTCCCGCTTGGGAATTCGTCAACTCGGACTGCTTGTTTCCGAGTGAACTTGAGCGCGTGTTCCTTGGTCGATTAACGTGCACACGCTTAGCAATGCCGCGACAGTGGTCACTGTACCGAGTCGGATTATGAAAATGTGCTGTCGTGGGATTCCGTCGACGTCGGGCGCGAATGGAAGCGCGAGATTGGACGAGTATCGCGCAACAGATCCGTGCAAGATAACGGCAATCAGATTAACATCTTCTTTGCTCGGAGCGGTGGAGGAGCCGCCAGGCCGTCGCGACGACATTTGCATAGCGCCTCGTATATATCCCGCCCGCGAACGTCCGCACTGTTAATTTCTCCCTCTCTTTCCTCGGCAAACGATATTATCGCCATCGGGCGACGCGCACACTTTGGAATCAATATCGGCTTCTTTTCACGACGGTGGAGAGAGTTAATTTTCCAGCGCGTTTTCCGCGGCAAATGGCGTGGATGTGAATAAACGGCTCGTTAATAATTTAAATCAAGTAGCGCGCTCTCTTGGTCCTCCGCTCGTTAATCTTTCTCGAACCACCGGCCGAAAGAAATTCACCTCCGGCAAACAAGTTTTCTCATATTCTCACGGCTCGGCGGGGAGTCGTTTTTCTCACGTGATTTCTCGCGATTCACATAAAGCCACGCCGGCCACGACGCCGGGCCACGAGTGCGCGCGCGCGCGCCTATCTTGACGAATAAATTAAAAGTGGGCGATTCTATATTACGCGGATATAACTCGCGCGAGTCCGTAAAGATCCCGCGCGCAAGAAATTCAGCAAGTTTGCGGGGGAATCGTTTCTTCTGCGCGTCTTAATAGTCCCGACGACTGTCACACTTCAGCGAGAGAACGGCTGCGACGCCGGCTGTGTAGTTTGATTAACGTTTACTGCGTTACGAAGTCGACGGCGGTGGAAGTAAGTTTATGTGTTTCCTTTTGACTGCAATTTAAATTCGTAACGTCGCGTCGCGCACGAACGCTTCCCCGCTTTCTCGACTCGTCTCTCACCCTTCGTTCCTCTCTCTCTCTCTCTCTGTCTTTCCCCCTCCTCCCCTACGACTCGACCCGATCGATTTTTCAATTTCGACAGAGGTTAAAGTATCGCGGTCACTCGTCAATTATTAAGCCTGAGAGACGATATTATTAAACGATAGGCGAGATAGTAATACCAGATAGCCAGGCAAGTTTCGAGCGAGCCATTAAAATTTGAAAGAGCCGAGGGAAACTTCCCGACTTTGCGGGTTAATAATCTCCTCGCGAGAAGGGGTACTACGGTTGATCAAGTATAAAACGGAAGAATCTCGAAGAAACGAATCGCGGTATCGAGGCGACGGCTCCTCATGATTTATTTTTCTTCGCACGCGAGTTTTGCCGTCGACTTTTATTCCGGGCACTTTTCCGCTGACTGCCTTTTCTCCCTCTCTCCCCGTCTCCTCCAGCCCTTCGTCACTCTCTCTCGTCTTGTCTCGTCTTGACACCGCGTAAGAACCAATTGGATGGTCCGTTTCAGCGCGCATTTAACGCCGTCGTGTCCCCGTTTGAAAGTGCTTTTTGCCGTTGCGTCGCGGTTTTTCGAGACTCCCTGGGTGGCTTGACAGGTCCCATCGACGTAGATCGCTTCTTTTGTCGATCATATCTACTTCGTTAGCCTTGATACCCGCCCGTCCACTCACCCGCTAGCTCTCTCTTTCTCTCTCTCTCTCTCTTTATAATACGATTGAAACTCGTCGTTTCTTCGTATAACACGGACTTGATTGCCGAGGACACACGCACGGTGCGCTACGTGACCCGTCTCGCCTCTCTTCCCGTCGGGTGTTGGCAACTTTAGTCTCGCCGGGAGACGACACAAAAGGTGTTCTAATCCTAGCCGCCTATCGGCCCGATCCGGACGAAAGGTCGGAAATCACGGTGACTCACTAGATCCGACATACCGATCTTTCGACATGGAAGCGATTCGCTCCGCTGGTTTTTCTCATCTCGCGTTTTGCGCCGCCGTCACCGTCGTCGTCGTCGCCGCTACCTCGGCAGAGGATCGACGGGACGGGAGGCGCGGTCATCGAACGGGGATCACCCTCACGTTACGCTCACGAAATCGAACGACGGAAGAAGTTCTTCTCCCCTTACCCTATATCCCTTTCTTTCCCAGTCCCAATCCCCAGTCGCTGGCTTTATAGGGTTTTCTCAAGCGAAGAGCGACTCCTCGGCTCTCAGACTCTATAACCGTTCCCTCCAACTCCGGTCCTTACGAAAGCCCGTGATCCGCCGGCATTTCGGAAACGAAATCCGCGCTCGCTTTGTTTAAGACATCGGGAAAGTTGGTCCGAGTCAGCTTCATGAACTCGCTCGCTTCGATGCCGGCCCTGATTCGACGAACATTCCGCCCAAATACACCTGCTTCTCGGACCGCGGCCAATTCGGCAGAGAGAGTCACCTAAACGTTCAATTTTTACAGCTACACGTATTCGCTCTCCGTTTGCGCGCGCGAGAAGATCGAGGTGTCGATTGTTGCGAAAACGCGCATATTGCACGGTAAGTCGAGCTCTCGTTGCGCGTTTCGATCACGACCGCGCTAGTGGGACCATTAGCAGCCGATTCCTACACGGGAAACCCCATAGCGCGCCGTCCCGCAAGCTCCTGTGCGTAAAAGCCCTTTCATTCTTTTCCTCTCTTTTATTTTGCCAGGCTCTCGAGATTAGATTCGCTTACGCGACCTAGTTTCCGATTTCTCGCAATTGCTCTTGCCAACAGACGCGACTCACGCGCAAGTATCGCCGATCTCGCCGCGAATTTCCGTGATCGCGCAGCCGTCGCACCCTAACATGTAGGCGTTTTTGAGATCGATCGATCGCACGCGATTACCGCCGATTTGTTCGATTGAGCTGCGCGAAACCAAGTTTCGTTCGTTTCTTTATCCCCGCGCGGTTTAGAACACGGTGACCGCGGGTCTTACGCGACCCCTGGTTCGGGGATTAAAAGAGCTCTCCAGTTCAGGGGTAAAGCAAAGTGCGGGTTAAGTCCATTCAAGAGTATGTCTCACTGTGCCGCGCGCGGCGAGTTTCTTACCGGTGACGGCGACGAGGAGGATGCAGAGGAGCGTCGCGGAAAGCGCAAAACGCGCGCTCCGGTGTCTCGCGCTATCACTTGTCATGATGCTTTGATTGCGCTCTCTCTTTCTCTCTCTCTCTCTCTCTCTCTCTCTCTCTCGTCGATTACGCACTCATATACACGCGCGACGCGCTCATTCACCGGTCACAGATCGGCCTTCATATCAGATCACTCTCAGGCCCCGACGAGATCCGCGAATCGGAGCGAATCCATTGATGATTTTCTTGTCGCCACTGCACTGTATACGATGTATTCCTCGATAGATCGTTCGTGTTTTTTTTTTCTCTTACGATCGTTCGGTATGTCCTAGCGGAGAGACGACGCGACTGTGCGAACGCGGCGACTCGCCAACTCGCGGTTTTTCTCGAAACCGGAAGAAGAATCGGATCAAGGGGTCGCGAACCCCCTTGCGATCCCTCGCCGACGATGGCGCGCTGCGCGTCTAAGGGTGACGTAATGCGAAAGGTTTTCCGGTCGACGTACGAGCGGCTACTGAAGCTCCCGCCGCAAGCACGGCGAGCTTCCAGTGCGTCGACTCCGTCGTGCACCCGAAAGCTCGCCCTCCGACTCGCTCCCTCGCGCGGCACTCTCTCTCTCTCTCTGTCGTCCGTTCGCCATTTTCTCTCTCTCTCTCTCTTCATCGTCCGCGACTCGTTGCAACTTCTCCGTCGCGCCTTCACAGCCACCCTCTCTCCTGTTCACCCTCCTCTCGCGCGGTGCCTCTTCGCCTCTCTCCCTCACAGCCATTTTAGCGTCGTCGTCGCGATCAGGCGCGCCAGTGCGGGCTGCGCGCGCGAGGGAGCTTTCGCGTCCTAAAGCTGAGCGGACGAGGGGCCGCGGGAAGGGGTGATTGATTGGCGCTGAAACTTCGCGACTGATTGAATCTTTTTTACGTTTCAATATCGATATCCCGGCCGGCCAGTCGGTCGGAGCGGGGCGAGCGAGGGTAAAGAGGGCCCCGAGGGCTTCGAGGGCGTTAGGTGTCGTACGCGTACTAACACTCACACTCGTCGCACAATCCGCGATCTCTTCCGCCGGAGACCGCGATGCAAGCTCGCTTCACGCGACTTCCCGTCACGCGCGATCAACGCTCGGACGGTGGAAGCTTCGACTTGGACAAATGGGCCTGTGTTTCTCGTACTTGCCGCCGCGGCGGGCAATTGGCGGTGTTCGTGACACACCGACTGACGAAAGGGACGATCAATCGATCGGGATTATCGGACAGGAATTATCGGATGCTAGGAAGTTGGACCGTAACGCGACTATATACGCGACGTGACGCGATAAGAAGTTGGCCGAGCGATTTAAGGGGGCCACGGTGGCGGTGGCGGTGGCGCTGGTGGTTGCGATTTATAGTTTGATGGATATTGATGACACACCGTGCCGCAAGTTCATGCGAACGCGCAACGGCGTGACGTAGAACCGTCGGGTGTGGAGGGGAAAAAAGGGTAGCGCAGTTAATTGAACCGCGCGGGCGATGCGCTAATTATCGCAACTGTTGGCCGATATCCGCGCGCGGCCCCGATACTCTTGCTTGCTCTCTCTCTCTCTCTATCTTTCTCTTCTCCCCCTCCCCCCCCCCGATGATTTTGATCGATTATTCGCGCTTCCTCTCCCCCTCTCTCTGCCAGTCTATAGCCGGCCGCGAGAGGCCATTATGCGCGTTAGGCCGAACAAGATGTAACAAGGTTGAGAGCGCAACTTGCGCTATCGGAACCGATCTCCCAGCACGAATAAATAAAAGCGAAACCCGATTCGCGCGCGTATCCGTTGATAAATAAGATCGACTCGGAATTGCACGCTGTCGCTCGCGCGGTTTATCATTCGAGCTGCCGGCGAACTGCCGAAGCGGCTCTTGAAATGCCGAGCGCTGCGTTTCACTTATGCGGCGTTTAAGGGCGCAAGAAGTAATAAGGGAAAAAGGAGCGGAGGGACAGGGGGAGGAGGAGAGAAGAACGGGGAAAAAAGGGTGGCACACGGAATCGCCGGGGGCACTTCGTTTCCATTTCAAATGAGCTCTCGATTCGCAAGAAAACTCGTCGACCGCTTAATCTGGTTTGGAATAGATCAGATTCATCGGATATATAGCGTGCGTTAATTAGAAGCGGATAAACGTATTCCGCGACTACGGCGTGTAGCGCGACGTGTAATTCGTTCTACCGCAACGTGTGCGATTAACTGTAGCTTATTGATCAGGCACGAATGACGAGCCGTGGATAATCGCGAGTAGCATGCGCGTCGCGCGAAAGAAAGGCGCGTGGTGGCGCGAGAGGAAATCCGGCGAGAAACAAGATCCGGACGTTCCGGCAAAAACGCGCACGGCTCGGCGTTTATTAAAAATGTGGCGCGACTGGGGAAATGTCGAGCGCTTCTGATTTTGCGCGCGACGGCCATATCTCCGCGAAACGGCGCCCGCTCAGAGTCGATCGTCCACTCGATATCCACCGGATGTCGGATGCTGTTACGAGAATTAACACATTGTCAACGATGCGATCGCCTGTCAATCAGCGTTACTAACTCCCTCTTGTATGGGCGCACACGCGGCGAACGCGCGCGATCTCTCGTTCTCGACACCGTGGTCTTGACGTTGAAGTTCTCCGGCAGATCTGTTGGGGGCGAGTCGCCGTGGCTTCGAAAAAAAGGAGGAGAAGAAGGCACCGAGGAAACTCGGTATATTAGTGCACTTTTCAAAAACCACTGCCGTGTCAGACTATTGCACATCTGATATCGACACTGCGCGCGCTGCAATCCATGAGTATTTTCATCGATGCGTCCACAACCGATAAGGCATGGAAAGTGTGTCAATCGATTCGCACACGTGTCATTTTTCCTATCATTCGGGAGTGCAGCGAGACGCGCGAAGCCGCCCCGCTTTACGTTAATTCGCTCGCTGGCTCGTCACATCGGTTTATCGACGAAAGAAAAAATTCGCCGCGCCGCGGGGAAATGATAACGCCCTCAACGGAGTAAAATTAATTACGCTTTTATTGCCCTCAAAAATGTGTCCATCGAATGCGAATTTCCCCGCGTCTCCGGCTCTCTCTCTTTCTCTCTCTCTCTCTCTCTCTCTCTCTCTCTCTCTCTCTTGGCGTCGTCCTGCGTGTGCATCGAACCGGCAATTACCACGACGCGACAAATAGAAGGATAAGATACGATAGAGATCACGATTTTCCCGTGTAACGAGGGATTTTGAGAGAGCGAGACTCGTTCTCCTTTACCCCTCCTTTCCTCCTCGTCCTCCTTCTCCTCTGCCTCCTCCTCCTTCTCTTCGTCGTCGTCAGAGCCGCACGAACGGGTCGATATAAATTACCGCGAATGGTCCGAAGAAATCTGCCGATCATGGTTCTTAGGTCGGAAACATCTGGATATCACGCACAGTTACGTTAATTAAGGATGAATGAGTCGACTCGAGGTAAATATCCGATCTCCATTCGAGGCACGACGGAGTGATTGACGCATGCCTCGAAAATTATCGGCGTAGCCTCTTTCCGCTTCATTTCCGCCGCTTCCAGACACATTAGCGTTCTAATTGGACACTCCTTCGCGATTCTTTAAATTGCACGTTATGTTATATTAGCGCCTGATCATAGCGGAAGTGAAATAGCGCAAATAACTTTTTTCAAATATTTATTATCGCTTATGGACGATCCAAGTTGTGCCAACTATCCGCGTAGTATTGTCGCACGGAATATTTCGTTGCCTCGTTTGTAAAAAATGCGGCCGACATATCCGTCGCGACTCGTACTTTATGAAATCCGCCTAAAGTAAAAGCACCAAATGCCAGGCATGTGCCCGAACATTCGTATTGTTTTGGTCTTTAGAACGGAATACTACATTTTTGTTTTTTTTGAAATGGCTGAATTCATATTTGTGACCAAAATTTCTAAATTAAAAATAATGAACACAAAATTAAAAAATTCGTTCGATTTGTATGAAAAATTAAAATTTAAAAATTTTTGAAACTGCTAAAATTCCAAATTTAAAATTTATTAAAAAACAAATTTTGAGAGTTCAAAATAGCTCAATATGATGAGGAAAAAATTCGAAATGTAGATCAATCTGCATAAAAATTAATTTTGAGGGATTTTAATTAATTTAAAATTTTCGCTGTTATATTGGATTCGCCATTTTTTCAATTAAAAAGTTTAATTTTGAATTATAAAACAGCAACTTCAAGGAAGCCTGAATACAAACTTACGCGAATCGAACAATTTTTGAATCTTTGGCCCACCATTTTGAGTTTAAAATTTCAACTTTAAATTCAGATTTAGCGACTCAAAAAAAACTGCCCGAGAATAACCTTTTTAACAACTCCTCTGTCAAAAGTATTTTGCTTACAAATATTTGCTTTTATTTGACTTACAAATATTTTGTCCCAACAATCAAGGAGTTAAGAACCAGAACAATAAAAACATTCAAGATCGTGTTCAGGCATTAATATTCTTATTTTACATACACTTACAGAAACTTTAGTCTGCATCCCTAGAAATTCATTCCATGGTCTTGATCAAGCCGATTCTAATCAGTTATCTGGTTTGCTCAAGGTGATGTTATCGTATTCTAGTTATTAAGAAGGTCTCCTGATTATTAATGATGATTATTGCCACGATGCGTTACATGACACATCATCGATAATACCGTCTTGTACAAAACAGACAGTCGATTGGGATGAACATGGATCAGGAGCCTGGGATAAATTTCTAGCTGGGAATTGCGCTGTCCGCAATTTTCCCCGGCGGACAGATCCCGGCGCGCGACCCCGTCCTTTCCCCGTATTTAAGAGATTTCGCATTCAATTGATCGCCGCGGTCCGGCAATAAAGTATGCAGCGGTGTTCTTACCGCGGGAGATGTTTTCGCGTCGAGGAGGATAAACATTCCACTGAAACTTTGTACCGTCATTACCCAGCACTCGACGATCGGCATTTCCGTAAGGTTTTCCCGCCTGCGGTGATGCGCGGAGATCTATCCGAGCGGAGGGTAGGACTCGAATCTCACGGAAGTCAAGGCGCGAGTTAATTTGTCACTCTCCCGGCTCTCATACAATTTCCTCTCCTTGGACCTGCCGACATCTTCCTCATTATCTTCGAAATAAACGACCGTTAACAGGAACGTTTGACGTCGGTTAGGCACAAGAGTGAGGCGAGCCGCGCGCGGATTGTAATCGTAGAAACGGTACTTCCCCGCGGGTACTGGCGAAACGAGGAAGCGAAACGCGATACCTAAATAAATGCGTTACAAAGGTGTTGATTTTAGAAAGTAATATTGCCCGAGCGGATGATTATTTCCGCGAAAACTATGAGAACGATCGTCGGGTCGACTCCTCTGTCTTCTGCAACCGGCGACGGTCTCTCAAATTCCCTCGATTCGCGCAGCATTTGAATCACCATCGGCAAAACGATCCTCTATGAGCGCACGCACTCTGATGGATCATCGTCTCCATATCCATCCAACTTTTTAAATCACCAAAACGACGGACACGAGGAGAGTCGCGTAACGAATTTGCGGCCGACTCCGCCGGCCGGTAATAAAAACACACGTTATTGAGACCATATCTGCGCGTTCCAATAAAATGTCCGGCGTACACGCGCGGCCCTACATTGCGGGGGAGAAAATTTTTCGGCGGTTCCAGATGCGGCCGACCGATCGGACTTTAACGTCGTTTGCAAGCGGCTTCTTTCTCTCTCGCTCTCCCTCGGACGACCGTGCCGGCGCGTTCTCACGTTCCATTGCAAAACTGTCGAAACTGTCGAATCGCGGACAAAGGGTGTATAATACGAAAGTTACAAACAGCGGGAGGGTGAGATAGAGAGACGTGCCGGCGCGCGAACGCCGCCGCGATATGAGTACCGATGCAAGTTCTTGGAGCGTATAATATTCCACGTGCGAGTTGTCACTTCGTGACCGCATTTCAGTGACTAATGAGCGCTTTCGAAAGCACGTTAGGTAATGTCAGATACACGGCTGCTGTGCAATGCCGCGGCGAGCTTCTGTGAGGAGTTCGTGATATACATACGTGCACGGTTACACACACACACACACACACACACACACACACACACACACACACACACACACACACACACACACACACACACACACACACACACACACACACACACACACACACACACACGAGCACCCGCGTGTGGAGATGCACGTGCACGTTCATCAGCGTGTCGCGCGCTGTGTATACGCGCGTGTCGCAGAGGGTCGATCGGCAGGAGCGAAAAGCGGGATTAGGGTGCGGTGAACGAGCCGCTTGTCTCGAGTGAAAAGTTACAAAGGGTGTGAAAAGTAGGTCGAAACGGTCGGTTTAGGATTATCGGCGACCTGGCGGCTATCGGAGGCTGCAAGTGTTTAATACTCGAGTCGAACGATGCGCCGGTAGTGGTGCTTTTTTACGCGAGATACTTTGCTATGTGCAAGTCGATTATTATTCAGCGGAAAGTGTCTCACTACGCGAGAGCGCCGTATCGGGTGTATTTTTATCTTCTATTTTATTTCACTTACCGTGTGTGTGTGTGTGCATGTATGCATATATCTCATTATCGAGAAGTGTCGCGTCCCTTCTTTGCCCAAGCTGTATAGTCGAGGTAGACGATCGATAGCAAGGATAATCACCTAGCAGGATTTACTGGGGAGATCGGTATTGAAATGACAAGTCTGCATTTTAGAAAATACAAGACGGAAACGTTTAATATCTATTTACATATGTGGTGAGCAATGCATACACAGCATGCCTGTTATATACATTGCAGCGTATAGAGAAAAGAGAGATACAGAGATACTTAATAGTCGAGTCGACATAATGTTTAAGTGTGTGTACGGTATTAAAATCATTACGCAATGTACTTTGGACGCAATCGGTTGTTCGCTAGTAATTATTATCGCGACGAGATGAATAAAGAAGCGTGATCATTGGTTCGCGTTATCAGTATGGATGCGCCGATTATACGACATGGAGGAGTATTTGAAATCAGTTGCGTCGAGACATGTACACGGAAAAAGAAAGTAAGCAGCAACAATCCGTATGTGATAACTAAATCTCGTTTGTAATATATAGATATCTAAAAATACACAGCTGCAGTAGACATACAGGGTGTCCCATTTTAAAAGATCCACCCTCATAATTCTTCAGCCAAGTATATTCAGTAAAAATGTTTCAGACAAAAGTTGTCGGGTTCAGAGGAGGACATCTGAAGGTGACTTTGACTTTGACCTTGGAGGTCATTCTGAAAGTTATTCAAAACTCAACTTTGCTTTTTAAGTAGAAACATTTGTTTTTTCTTACGGAATTTTATTCTACGCAAAGAAAATAACAACCTTTGTTTGAAAAATTTTTTATACGATCTCTATTTTCTAAGGTATTTACGGAAATATCTATAAAATTATTGGATTTAATAATTTCTTACACGAATTCTATCAACTTTAGCGAAAAATAGCAAGAGATAAAAATTATTCATTTTCTTCTCATAGAGCTCTGAGAATTTTTTCAGAATTTTTTAGTTAACTTCTTAGTACTGTATTTTCTTGCATTTTCTTGAAGTACTAAAAAGTTTATAAAAAATTTTTTCAGAATTTTTTAGTTAACTTCTTAGTACTGTATTTTCTTGCATTTTCTTGAAGTACTAAAAAGTTTATAAAAAATTCTGAAAAAATTTTCAGAACTCTATGAGAAGAAAATAAATAATTTTTATCTCTTACCATTTCTCGATAAAGTTGATAGAATTCGAGTAAAAAATTATTGAAACCAATAATTTTGTAGATATTTCCGTAAATATCTTAGAAAATGGAGGTTGTATAAAATATAAATGGAGGTCGTATAAATTTTTTTTCAAACAAAAAATTTCGAACAACCTTCAGAATGACCTCCAAGGTCAAAGTCAAGGTCACCTTCAGATGTCCCCCTCTGAACTCGACTTTTGTCTGAAACATTTTTGCTGAATATACTTGGCTGAAGAATCATGAAGGTGGATCTTTTAAAATGGGACACCCTGTATATTAGCTATGAAACCGATATAATAACAACAAAGGTTTTGGTTACAGCAGCAAATTTTTAGTTGCACAGCAACAAAACATTCTTAACAAACTGTATTAGGTGCAGCAGTAAGATCTTCTTTTCCGTATTTGAGATTCAAATTTTGAGTCCACGCGGAAATTAAACGATAAATTATTACTTTTATTTATATATCAGTTAGTCGAGAAGCAGGCGCAGAGTGCATGCCAACTGCGATCTTGGAGTAAGTAATTTCGCGATTCGACGTTCTCATTGAGCAAGAGTGCAAACGAGTTCGTATCCCTTTGAACATTGAGAAACGGCACTCTCTGTTAATTGCCGCGCAAACCAACGATCAGTTTTCCTCGTTTAACAATCAAACATTTCTCACAATTTGCAAACGCAGGCGAACTATCGTAAGTATCTGGCTATTGAATTATATGGCATATATATGTAAACGCATTAAACAATTATATCCTGCAACGTGAGTCAGAACATATGAGCTCGAAATTTCGCGGACATTACGAGTTTAGAATACATGCGGTAGAACGACCGAGGAGCTGCGCAAATTCTAGTAAAAAGATCAGCCGCGGAATGAAACTGCGCGATGCAAAGTATAAAAATCAGATGAGTGCGTGTTTTATTGGTCGTAGACAGGCGCGATAGAACATTTGTATTGTGGGGATTAAAACGAGGAATTATAAAAAGTGCTAAAAAGTTTATGAACCCGAAACGTCGGAAATCGCTCAAAATTGATGTTCAAGGGCAATGAGTTGAGGAGAGTTGAGCTGCTCGATTCTTTCGCGCGTCGTGCCTTTATTTGCCAAACAAAACGAATAGCAAAATTCGCGAAAAGAGAGAGACAAAATTAAGAGAATCCAACGTTTCGGGAATTGCGGCTTATTATATCGTGTGGAGTCTTCAGGGGAGTGGTTACTCGAGCATCTTTCAGAGAATTCTCAATATCCGATATAACGTATCTCACGATAAAAATAACGAGCACACGTGAACGGTTTTGGCCAAGCGATCGTTGCGCTTATCACTTGGATCGCGTACAATATTCTATTCTGATCATATAAACGATGTAACAATGCGATTAGTTGGTATCGTGGGGGTAACGTTCATCTAACCGGAATACATTCCGATCCATGCCGGACTCGCCTTCGAGACGCGCCGATTTTGTTGGAGGATCCAGAGACTGACGAGTCGAATTGACACACGGCGACGTGGCCGTGAGCTCGAGAATGAGGTTTCTCCGGCGAAATTGATTTCGCACGCTAATAGAAAAAGAAAAAAAGAGCGGAGAAAAATCTCCCGACACGTTGTCTAGTCTAAGATAATTCGCAGAGCGCGTTAGAAACGGGTACGCGCGACGTGACCGTCACCAATTCGCTCCCCTCTCGCGAATTGTTCTCGATCGCGACGCGACACTTGACTCTCTCACTCAATCTCGTTGGAACGCAGCGCATTTACACGGACGTCTACACGCTCGCACGACACTCGAGATCCCGTACGAATAGCGTGTCGTTGGACACGGATCCACTGAACAATGTCCTCTACGAAGTAGATAATCTCAATAATTGACATATCTCGGTGAAAAGATCAAATAAAGTAACATAATTTGGGTAGATATTTATATATACATACACATATGCATGTATATATGTATATATAGAGTCGGTTATATATTATTGTGTAACGAATATGTACGATGCCGCACCACAGCGTGTGAACCTCCGTTCCTCGAGAGAGAAAAGAGAGAGAGAAAGCGGTCGAGTGATACACGATACGATTGACGACATGTGTCTCTGGGTACTTAGCGGGGCGCGAGCGTTATACCTAGCGAATCTCTCGGGCGAGTAGTACTACGGTAATATCTGAAATTTTCCGTGGGGTGTTAGAGGACGACGATGCGCGGCGGTCGCGCGGCGTGGCGCGCACGGTGCTATTCTAAAAAGGGGATCTTTACAACCCGGGAGTAACAATAAGTGCAGTTTTATGTACAATAGTCCCTACCGCTGGTGGATTTGTTCAGCGCGGCACATCTCCGCTGCTTTTACAGCTTCGAAACGGCGTCCTTACAAGGCTTTACAACCCGGCCAAACCGTCCAATGATTTTGATTATATCCTCCTCCTGTGTGCTGCTCTGCTCCGGGGCGCCAGTCCGCTGCGCCGCTGTGATTTCTCGCTGGATTGCTGGATCGCTGAATCGCGCGCGTCCGCCTCATTTTCGCGCGATGCCGCGAGGGGACGACGGGGGGCACGGCGCGAGCGAGCGCGCGAGATATTCTTCATGCGTGAAACAACAATCGTCCGCACCGGGATCACTCGTCCTGTCAAACGTGATCGCCCCAAACCGTCACCGTCTTGGCACGATCCACGGACGCCAGATAAGTGCCGTGCGGATGCCAAGACACCGCCGTCACCGCTGCCCTGTGTACATTTCAATGTCAAACATTCATTAGCAGCATCGTTGAAATGTGGTCATACATGGATCGATGTAGAAGCTTTAACACATGTAATGTTACATCATGTTAAAGTTTCTCACAAGAAATACATTGCGTGCTTTCCATTTGGCAATACAAATCAACGCAAGTTTCATCCTGTCCTTGTTCCATATTCAGTGGATAAGAAAGATACGATGATGCTTGTATCGACTTGTGTCATTAAATGGAAAGCACTCATTATGCTCTTTAGTATAACTTGACGTGTTAAGGCTTGTTTCAAAGTTTCTCATAGAAATATACTGGTTGATAACACAAGTCGACATAGGCATCATTCTGTCTTTGTTTCATATTCAGCAAGTGAGAATGATGCTTGTGTGTCGACTTACATCAGCAAATGGAAAGCACTCATTGTGTTCTCTAGTATGACTTCATGTGTTGAGACTGTTATGCCGGTCTGTGTGCACAAGCCGGCATAATGGTCTTAACATTTACTAGACTTAGTTTGTAATCGAATTTCTTGACCATGCGCAGTGTGTCTACATATTCGTGCAGTGTGACTATTCCGAAGTAACATTGTTAGTTCCTCGAAATGATCAACAGTTATGATGCACATATATGTAAAAACATTGCGCATAATTGAGAAATTGGATTGTAATTAGGTTTAGTGAATGTTGAGGTTATTTTACCACGGAATATATATCTTTTAAAGTACAGTCGATCATTAACATCACAGTCTTTTGTCCTTGTCGCTCGATAATTGCAGCCTTTGAGTGTACAACAATCTACCGGGACCCCATTGGGGAGAAAAGCAACCGTGAAATTGGCAGTTTTAAGTTGGTGTTTTCATTAGCGCTCTCAACAAATGTCGGAAATATTTTCAAGCGCGTTACATAATACCGTAAAAGTGGTATTGCATTACGGTATTACAAATGTGGTAAAATTAGATCGTTCTGCCAATGATAACGCCACCGGATATTTCGTTCGATCGAACATTCATTTCTATTTATCGAAGTATCGATATCGTAATACTTGACAGTTAAAGCTTTCCAGTGTTGCGCACATGGAAAACGCTCGCGTTACCTCTCGAGGAGGGTTCGATCGAAGAAATGGGAAATTAAAATCGCCACTTAATACAGGCGATATCGAATATACGAGGTAAACTGAAAGGAATTCAGCTATCGATATCGAATTTAACAGCTCACATCCACGTCACTCACATACCGATCAAGTTATTCGAGCACAATAATACCGCGTTTTGAAAGCAATGCCAAACCGAGCGTGAAATCAGCGCGTGGTTACCGGCGGGGAACCATTACACGGCGAGAGTGACATTAACCGAATCGATCTAGACGAGCGTGATTTCCGGCGGATTACGAATAGAGATTGTATTTTTGCGAGCCGCAATGGGCCGCTGCGATCGCCGACTAACGGTCACAAAAAGCGGCATCGCGCACCCACACGCGTCAGCGTGCGGGATATATGCGGCGTGTTCGTTTACATGTACGCGCGTGGCAATATTATCGTGCATTCTCAAGACGAATGCGAGTTCGCATAATGGATGTCCGATTAGATCTTCCGTGATATTTCGCGCGAAATAGCCGCACGGTCGTTTTCTTACATTCCCCCCCCCC